GGCGATGACATCACGGCACATCCTACGGCCCAGCCGTCCTCAATCAGCCCTCTCAGAGGGCCAGGTCGTATCGAACCCAGTACCTGCCATTTCGGCCTTTCACCTTAATCTTATTCGTTACCACAAACAACATGAGCACATGCATCCCTCCATCCCAGCATGTTGGCCCTGTGGACAAAAGCGGTAAGGCTCCATCGCCTCGTTTTATTGATTTTGACGGGGAATCCGGCAGGCAAATCGTCCTGGTGGCAGGTTATTCATAATTAATTATGGGAGAAAATAGCCAGTTTCTTGTTGATTGTCTGTTGTAGGTCAATACAGAGGCATCAGTAATAGACCGAAGACTGTTTATACATACATATTGTTAGACATATAATTAATTCATTATTAATTGTTATGTATTTTTTTCTTTTTTTAGTCGGGAGTGCAGTATTTCTTGGTTTTTCACTGTTACAAGAACACTGTTGTGGGACCCATTATTCCAGGGGTCAGCAACAACCTTTACATATTTTAAAAGAGCCAGTCTGGTCTGGAGCCACAAAACATATTTGAGCCTTCATATGCAAAGTTTTTCCACTGGTAAGCCAGCAGGTTGGGTGGTTAAGCAAACAATTCTGATCAATATTACAATCTTTTATTTTCACTGAAACTTTCTTTTTTGTTGGTTTGGGATCCATAGGTGTCTAGCTAGGGAGAATCAAGACTTAGTAGCCACGCTGTTAAGGTTTGTTAAGAAAAGGTGGCAGGTCAGGATTTAAGGTATGACGTACATTTAAGCTGACAAACAGCCAACTGCAGTTTGCTGCCTATTGTGGACTTATACTGATATAATAAAGTGAATGGGCATAAAACAAACATAAATACTTTTATTTTGAAAGTCTTATCTATTAAATATCGTACCAGTTCTCACTTAGTAAACAAAGGCGTGGAATATCAGGGTTGACTTATTGCCTTGGTGTTCATCATTATACGGAAAAAAGGTACGTGACCCATTTTCTGTCCATCCTACCCAATCATTTTGGTTTTCAAGCTTACACTCGCCAATGGGACGCAATGGGGACAAAAAAAGAGAAAAAAAGACAGTTCAAGTTTCCACATTTAAATGAATCATTGGTGTGATAAGGTGAAAGGTTTGAATATGATTGGACTGTCCAATGTTGGCAGGTTC